AAAACTTAAGATTTAAATCAAAAGTTGTTTTAACCTTATAAAGTTAAAAACTTATTTACCCATTTTCTCCAATTATTAAGTGTGTGACTTAGCTCTTTCGTGTAAGCGTTCAGTATTTTCGATTCTAGTGAACCTTTGAGATATTCCTTATATACCCTTTATACCTACTTTTGTCTAATTTGTCACTGTTTTATAGCTACCTTATGGTATCACACATGTGTAATTGTGTTACCTATATTATTAATACCTACTTCTACTTGTATGATATTGGTACTTGATTTCAAAAGCTTTTTAATAATAAATTTATACAATTTTTTATTTTGTATTCTTCAGATTTTACTATATTCTCAATATAACATAACTATACTTGTAACGATATTTATTTTAAATTTTTCAAAAAAGGTCTGTTTGATTATTTCTCAACGTTAATCGTATTTATTTAACAAGCAAAAGAAATTATGAAGAAGTACTTTTAAATTTAAAATAAATATTTTTACAAGTATTGTTAAGTCCATCCGTGGACACACTGTATAAATCTGTAGAATGAATTCACATTATAACATCTATAAAACGTTTTAGAGCAACTTTCGGGAAAAGTACCGTCAAAGTGCTAGTGTAATGTTTTCCGAACTTCACTTTGTAACCTTTACGAGATGTGCTATTAAAGGACGCAGCTAAACAGAGTACGAAGTAACTAGTCTTCTAGTAACTTTCAAGTTCTCTAGGTTGGTATCACAAGAGGTTGTACGGTTGTATTCTTGTATTTGCATTTTGCAATAAAAATATTGTTTAAATTTTTATATATTTTTTGAGAAAATTTAAATAGGCATTTAAAATTAGTTTATTGTGTGAAAATTATGAGAAAGATTAGTAAAATATTTAAAATATGGGCATTGTTCTCACGGAGAAAATAAAATGGACAAAAACAATTATTTATTCACATCTTTATTGTGTAATATTCAGTTTATGGACAAAATAGTTTTATTTTACATGAACATGCATTTGATGAAAACTGCATTGAATTAAAATTTGCTTCATTTCAAGGTTTGTAAAATATTAATACTATAGTTTTCACTTACTAATAATATAATTGTTAGATTTTCAGTTAAAAAGAAGATAATGATGAATATTTACGAAGAACAGGCAAACATGATTCTAAAAATGTCCCATATATTACTACCAATGTAATTGTTCAGGTATGTTTTTTACCAACATTGTGCAACCAAATTTTTCAAAATAATGCATTTTTTAGGACTCTTGCTAGGGTTACTACCTTTTTGAAAAGTGAATGAAGATCTACGATGTATACAAAAAGCCCTCATCCTTCCACTGAACTCATATATTTTTGTACAAACCATGTCCCTTCCTAAGATATGTGCTGTAAAAAAAGACATTTGCCATAAAAAAGGACATTTTAAGCTTTATAAAGTCACAAGGATATTTTGCTTCAAAAAAGGACAATACTCTTGCTGAACACACATACTTTTAGTAAACTTGCTCAAAAGTCACGAGGTTTTAAGAAAATAGGATGCATTTGCACTAGCCAAATAATAGTAAAATTATTACATGCTGCTAAAAGTGTGAATAGTAAATATTTTAAAACCCATTATTATTGGTCATGAGATCCAGCGAGTTCAGCATTTACAAATCCTAGAAAATTAAAAACAAATTATTGCTGCAAAGTTTACACTGTTTGTTTCTGACCCTAAAATTGTAGATTCGATACACTTCGGGACACTTTACAACATGTAGATTTAACTACTAAAAAAGGTATCTACAATATTAAGAAATCATTTAAAATTGATATTCTAGATGGTATTACCAATGCAATACATAATTTACTGAAACGTAACAAGAAAAAAGTTATGGATAGCTAAAAGAAAAAATGTTGTTTAGCATCCAGCATTATGTCAATAGAAATATGGTTGCCCCTACAACAAATAAATAAATATACTTTGATAACATATTTATGTACCTATATAAAATGTAAAATAATAAATCATATTCAAAAAACAATTATAATAGTAATAATTTAAATTGGAGGATTTTGTTGTCTACGTTATGTATGTCTTTTTTTATCACAATTTAATAAATTATTTCTATAAATTAATACAAATTTTAATTGAAAAATAAAAATATTTATGATTTCAACATCTGTTTTTATTTATAAAAATTGTGTTTGCGTTTACAATAATTTAATTCTTTATTGACATCTCCTAACTTCACTTTTTAAACCAAACAAAAGTGACACATGACACAGTAGAGAGGGCCAACTTCATGTTGGACTAGTTACCTCGTACTCTGTTTAGCCGCGTCTCTATTAAAGTGTTGCAGTTGCGGACATTCGGAAGTTGCAAGGATATTATGGATACATTAAAAGTACATCGAATGCGAGCTTAAATAGCATAAAATAACGTAGATGGGATGTTTTTGTGCTAGTAGGGGAGATAAAATTCAATGTATTTTGTTATATACCTTGATAGGGGTGGCCAGGTTGAAACTATATATACTGACTTTTCCAAGGCCTTTGATCGCCTCGATCATAGTATACTTTTGAACAAGCTTTCCATTGTTGGACTCACTACGTCTTTTCTGCGTTTCTTTGAATCATATTTAAGTAATCGTAAATTAAAAGTTGAATACCATGGTTTTCAGTCAATTTGTATAAAAGCTTCTTCCGGTGTCCCTCAAGGTTCAGTTCTAGGACCACTTTTATTTTCCATTTTTGTAAATGACATTACTGAAAACCTATCATGTAATACTCTACTCTATGCCGATGATTTCAAATTGTTTAAATCAATCTCTAGTATTGATGACTGTTTGATTATGCAGGAGAACCTAAATAAATTGAACCTTTGGTGTAATTCTAACAACTTACCACTAAACATATCTAAGTGCAATTCTATCAGCTTCACTCGCAAACTAAATCCGATTGAGTATAATTTCACTGTCAACAATATTACCATCAATAAATGTCTTTCTTTTAGAGATCTTGGTGTTCTTTTCGACGCTAAGTTAAATTTTATTGAACATGTCAATACTATTCAAAAAGAAGCATACAGAAATTTGGGTTTTGTCATTCGAAATGGACGCCAGTTCTCTGAGCCTAACACTTTAAAAACTATTTTTAACGCTTTTGTACGTAGTAAGCTAGAATATGCGTCCATTGTTTGGAGTCCTGGATATGAAGTATATAGCCAAGCATTAGAAAAAATTCAGCGAAAATTTGTCAAATATTTGTGGTGCAAGCTAGATGGCGTCTACCCTACTCGCAATATTCCGCAAACCATCTTGCTGAATAGATTTGATATCCTTGAATTACGTACTCGTAGGAAATGTTATTCTATTTGCATTCTTTACAAATTATTAAATTTTAAAATTGACTGTCCCGAACTACTTCGTCAACTAATGTTTAATGTTCCTAGTATCAGAACTCGCTCCCTTTTTTATTTCTATTTTCAAACACCCAGGACAAATATTTTAAAATTTTCTCCAATGTATTTTATGTATCAAAATTTTTGTGAACTTCAAAATGATGTTGATTTATTTTCTATTTCAATTAAAGAAATAAAACGCTTAATTGTGGACTGAGTTAATTATCATAAGACGACGTAATTTTTTCTCCTAACGGAGTTTTTTTTGCGTTTTCTTATGATGGTTAAAAACGTTTATTAAACTATTTTTTGTTTACATATTTTTATGCTATTATTAGTATTTAATATTTTGTTATCATTTTTATGATGTAAATTATACTGTAATTGTAATTATTTTTGTGCCCATCCTGTAATTGGTTTTATACTGTTGGATGGTGTAACCCAAATAAATAAATAAATAAATAAATAAATATATAAGCGGGGTTATCACTTTAGATGTGAGGGGAGAGGGGTAGGTACTCAATCTTCAATGTCGTACAGTTTGAAAGGGTTCGTATTTATGTTTACCATTTACGCAGTGTAATGTCACAATAACAAATAATTTAGATAATTGATTCGTATGATTTTCTGAGTAATGTTACACGTATATTTACTTGGCAGATTACCGAACAATAGCTAATTAAACTAGCAAGTAGTTATTCAACTTTACTCAAAGATGAAAAGACTGGCTCTAAGAGAAATTTAAAAATATTTAGTGTTGTTTTTTATTAAGTCAAGCCTTTCATTATACACTGATCGGTATTGTATACATGTTTTACTATATGTTCTATTTAGGATTAAACATTTTTTTCGGCTCGAGGACCAACTATTATTTCTTTATTTCAATAGTAATAGTAATTTCTGGTTGAAAATGATACACACAGATTGTCTGTCTGAAAACGTCTATTTTTTTTAATAGTTAGATAAACATAATTAAAACCATAGTAACATACATTAAAAAACGTAATCTTAATCTTAAACATTTCTAACTAATGCTAACAGTGGGAGTAAAAAATCAAATATAGCAATATCTTATTTTATATCTTAGTTTGGGACGTCTTGTAGAGTTAAATATATGTTTACATGATAGCTTTACATTCTTTTTATATCCATTTTTTTAAATACTGCGCCCCTATATAAATAATCTTGCTTGCAACATGAAACTCTTATATTTAATTTTAATTTTCGGAATAGTTCGTAGTGATTGATTCTTTCATTTTACTTTTTTTAATAAACTTCTTAAGTTTAGTTATTGGTAGAATAATAGACAAAGAACGCTTTGCAAAAATTGTAGTCGTTATTTAAATAAATATTTTAACCTAAATTGGCATATTTGGTGATTACTATTTTGGATAAAAATGGTATCCAATATGGACATCTATGTCGCAATACCCTTAGTTCTGCTTTAACATTTTTATAAAACTTAAAAATACTACGTACGCTCTAAATATACGAGCAGTCTTAACTGAGTAATTTTATCATTTCCAATGGAGATACACTACGATTGCAGATAGTCACGAAAAAACTCCCTCTACGAGAAGTATCAATTATTACTGGCTCGTCTACGGTTGAAGATTTCGTACTTACCGACAGTCTTGAAATCCGTATGCAGGCCATCGACCGTTATCCTAGAGTCTCTTCCGGTCCGTCTGAAAGTGAATTCGTGCCAATTGCCGTCGTCGATCCGCCTCCTCGATCCGCGTTGTTTCGACGGGCCGGAACCAAGATCTATGTGCACGTATATGTGGCCGTTGTAGATTTCAACCCCTAACAAGTCCGCCTGAAATACAAATAAGATTTTTACATTTACCGATCTCTATCAACATTTAAAATGCTTTGAATTTAATTGATTTAATGCGAACGCGTAGAAGGGTTACAAAATGCCGACTTGTAACTCATAATTCTTACTTCTAACTAGGAATTCCGACCATGTAACTCCTTATTCCGATGTTAAACTGAATTTGATATGGAAGTGCCAAAAAATTCCGATTTATATCTTGGAATTTCGACTTCTGATTCGAAATTCTGACATCTATACTCAACCAATTTTTAAATGTTGGTGACTCATCTTGCGGATTAATGTAATTCTATTATGATTTTCAGAGCTTAACTTACCGTGACCATTTTATTGTTTATGCTTCGTCAACGCAGAAATTTAAAAAGTGAGATTATTCCATAATATTTACTTCTACAAATATTTCGCGTAGAAGCGCCACAAAATTTAGAGTTGTAATTGAGAATTCCAACTTGTAAATCGGAATTTCGACTTTTAACTAGGAATTCAGATTTGTAACTCGGAATTCCGACTGGTAATTCGAAATTTCGACATATCACTCTAAATTCAAACAATGTTATTCCAAATTCCGACGTTAAACTGAATCTGGCATAGAAGCGTCACAAAATTTAGACTTTTAGTTCGGAATTTCGGCTTGTAACTTGAAGTTTGGACTTCCGACTAAGAATTCAAACATTTAAATAAGAAATCCATACATATAACGTTGAACTAAATAAGGCGTAGAAGCGCTACAAACTTAGGGCTTGTGAATCAAAATTTCGGCTTGTAACTCGAAATTTTGACGTGTAACTTTAAATTTGAATTATCTTATTTCAATTTACGACATTTAACTAAATGTGCCATATAAATGCTACTAAATTCAGACTTGTAATTGGAACTTCGGATTGTAAATCGAAATTTCAACTAAGAACTCAAAATTTCGTCCATATAACTCCAAATTTCAACGTTAAATTAAATTTGGCGTAGAAGCGCTAAAAAATTCAGACTTGTGATTTGAATCTCTACCTTGTAACTCAGAATTTCGACTTCTGACTGGCAATTTAGACTTTTAACTTAAAATTCCTACATGTAACTCAAAATTCCGACGTCAAACTCTGAATCAGACCATGTTATTCCATATTTGGCGTAGAAATGCTAAAAAATACTGACTTGTAATTCGGAATTCCAGCTTATAACTCTGATTTTAGACTTCTAACTCAGAATTTTGACCATATAATTCTAAATTTCGACGTTGAAATAAATTTGGCGTGGAAGAGCCACAAAATTTGGACTTATGATTCGGAATTTCAGCTTGTAACTCGGAATTTTGACTGTCGACTTGGAATTCCGACATGTTACTCGAAACTCCGACATATAACACTAAATTTTTACCTCTAATTCGTAATGCCGATTTATAGTTCGAAATTTTGTCATACAATTCTTTAAAGAAATGTTGCATAATCAACGCATATTCCCATGACAAAGACATACACTTTGGACCAAATTAAATTGTATATTTTAAGGCATGGTTATATATTAACTGCTCTTGAAATTAGTCGGTACAGCTAATTTAATCGTCATTTGTAGAAGACTGTATCTCGGAAATGCCTTAGCCGATTTTTAAAAATGAAGAAGATTCTGAAAGTTCATTATTTTTCAGTGCGAAAGAGGGCCTCATTAAAAAAAGGATTTCAAACAGATTGCGACAACGAGGATTGAGTTAAAAACATATCGCTGACTTGATGGGATATCAAGATTCACTGTTCAAAGGATGAATGAGCCCAGAGACGATCGTCTGATGAACCCAGACGGAGAAGAACTCTAAATATGACATATATAAAGGCGACTACTATCATCAGAGACCGTTTGTACGAGCTAAATTTAAATGCTCAAAGGATATGGGCTCAAACACATTTGAACTGGGGAATAGCTAAATGGAGATGTTGCATGTTTACTGATTAATTTAGCTTTGCACTGTATAGAACGGATGGAAGTTAGAGTGCCGTTTGGTGGAGGAAGTGTGACTGTATGGGGTGGGGTAATGAGGAATGGTAAAACTGATTTGGCAGTTTTGATTAAAAGTATGAATTGTGTTAGGTATCGTGATTTGTGTGTAAATGAGATTGTCGTTCCCTTTGCTCAGAACTTTGGCGAATATTTTATTCTGGTGATCTATAACGCTCGTCCACACCGGGCTCGATATGTCCAAGAATGTCTGAAAGAGAATGGTATCGAGCGAATGAATTGGCCTGCTAGGTCGCCAGATATGAACGTGTGGAGTAGAATGAAACTAAAACTAAATCAAAGAGAGTAAGAATTACAAAATTTGGAAGAACTGGCAACTGTAGTTAGAGAGGCCTGAGAAGCTATTATATTCCACGCCTTCTTCTCAATGATCATAGGTAGTACACCCCTTTTCCCGCTCTGTGGCCACGTATTTTAAAGTCTAAATACCCTCAAAAGTATTTAGAAAGCTCCAAAATAACTGATTCCAAAATATCTGGTTCCAAAATAACTGGTTCCAAAATAACTGGTGATCCCAGACACACTCTTGCGTCATTCTTTCTTTTTCGTGACTGTGGTTACACGTAAATAATTTGCTTATCATCATTAATTATCAAAAATACATAAATGGGTAAATCGAAGAACATTTTTATAACGGGGAAGTCTACGTCCTCTGAGGAATACAAACTTAAAAAAAATTATAAAAAGAAGCTGGTTGACAAAAACGACACCAAATATCACATCACATGGATGTTGAACAAAATGGCGGCACAAATGGTAAACGCTTTTTTTAAATTGCAAATTTTTTTTGTTTTATGTATGAATTCATACTCCATCGATCAGCATTAAAAAATACACAGTATACACTGTGATAAAGGCTAGTTACTGGTTTATAACTGAATCATGTATATGATTTATGGCCTTGGAACCTATATGGTTTTTCCCGTATTTACTATGCAGTATATACTGTAAAACAGGCTAGTTAATGGTTTATAACTAAGTCATAATATGTATAAATATGCCTGGTGGATTCATGTGGATCCTTTCCTGTTTATTATGCCCGACGCTGAAACATGGGTTTTTTTTATAGCATCAAGAGCAACACAAAGGATGTTATGTACAAGGTGGTCGGCATAAAATGAATAAAATGATTCTAAAATATTTACAAAGGAAAACCTTTTATGAAATACAAAGTTCCTTCTGTTTAGGTGTAGGCAGTTAAAAATTTACATTTCTACATTGTATTCTTTCACACCCTGTACAACATTGAAAATGACTTTTTACTAAAGATCTCATAAAGCCATTTATACAAGAAATAATGAACTTTCAAAATATATATACAGTGTGGTTTAATGAAAATTATCCACCCCCCTTTTATTGGTTCCCTCATAAAGAAGAAATACTCGGACATGTCGATTTTTATTTGGAAGGGGGATACATTTTTTTTCTAATTGCATTATTGACACTTCAACCCTCGAGCAGTGGAGTGAACAACCCCTAGAATTTAGATAGGGAAAGAACTAGGTGTGGCACATTTTTGAAAAGGTAATTTTATACGAAATTCAGTAACGCTAATATTGTTGCGATAAATCCGTTATTAGCGCCCTCTTGTGAGTGAAAATTATGCACCTAGAAGCAGAAATGCTTGGACACGTCGATTTTTGTTTGAAGCAGGACACTTTTTTTTCTAATTTTAGCATCGAAAATTAGACCCTCGAGTATGGGGTGAACAACCCCTAAAATTTAGATAAGGAATGTACCAAGAGTGGCACATTTTTGAAAAGGTAATTTTAAGGGAAATTTCATTTCAACGAGAAATTACATTTTGGTTTTGTTAGTTTCTTAAGTTTACCTACTTTCTAAAAAAAGTAATAAACTGTAAATTTTTTTAAAGATTTATTAAAATGTTAATTTAACAGGTGTAAAAAATATGACCCATTTGCTTCCATATAATAATACAAATTTTGTTCAAATCTATTGCGAACATTTTGTAGAATTTTAGGTGTTATTCTCCTGCACTCAGCTATTATCCGTTGGCGAAGATATTCTATGGAATTAGACTTCGTAGCAAAACATTTATTTTTCAAGTGTCCCCAAAGAAAATAGTCCAGAGGCGATAAATCCGGTGATCTTGCAGACCATTCAATTGAGCATCTACTTCCAATCCACCGGTTATTTAAAAATTCTCTTACAGCACCAACATAGTGCGGAGGTGCTGCCATATTGCTGAAAATGAAACTGCTCAACATCATGATTTGGGTCATTTTCTAATATTTCTATTATAAGAGGGTGAATTTCATCTTCAAGAATGTTTAGGTGCACTTCACCAGTTAAATTTCCAGGAATGAAAAGTGGTCCTACAATATGGGTATCTAATATGCCACACCAGACATTTATTTTTTCAGGGTGTTGGGTATGATACTCACGGAATAAATGTGGGTTACTGTCATCCCAGTAATGGCAATTATATCTATTGAAAGCTTCATTCAAATGAAATGTACACTTTTGAGTGTGAGGTTAGTGGGAAAAATCTTTAAGATTCGGCTGTGGCCTGGTTTCTGGGGTATGCGAGACATCAGAAAAACGTCAAGTACAGTACTATAAGATCGTATCCGCGATGCAAGAGCAAATGCCAATAATCACGTTGAAATCGAAGTAGTTGACACGAAATAGTTTGTGAAACATCAGTGGAGTATAGAGCTATTGGCGAAGAACCACTATAAAATTCTAATGCGCCTCATTTGGAACCTCAGTAGGTGGTGTGGAAGACTGGAATGGACATTTTTTATTCTCGTTTTTTTTTGGGTTAATTTTTTGGCTTATTTTTTTCTTTCTATATATGTATAATATAGTACTTTTTCGCTCTAGCACATCTCCAGGCACGCATGTCTCCATAATCGGCCACTGAATACGCTCTTTCTTGATAAAAATGACCCGAAACCTGAAAAACCCAGGTGCCGACCTTCTATGGCCCGTAGCGCAAAATCCTGACGGTAGATTTTTTGTGCCCATCACCTTTTTTGTTCAGGATGTTGAGATCTACATTTTCCACCAAAAATTAGACCTTGGGACTGAAACCATTTTTCCCTATAAAAAGTGCGGGGTCCTTTAATGTTTTTCTTTGTATCGGTTCATGAGTCATGGTGGATACAGACACACACACATAAATCATCGCGAAAATAGTCCAAACGGATTCAGGGGACCTCAAAACGTAAAAATCCGTCGTAAGTCGAGGTCGAAAAAATCATGCTTCCTATACTTTCCTTATCTGTATACAGATAGGAAAGTAAAAAGAGTGTAATTACTATAAAAAAAATACCATTACTTGATGGACCATTAACTAAAAACAACTCGAAAGAGTTTCAAATACATTTGTATCCATGTCTTCGTGATGATCCTTAGTCTTTTGTAATTCAAAAACATTGAGCATACGTTCAACAATACAATACAGAACTCATAGTAAATTTACTTTAATACGTTCAGTTTATAGAGCAACATTGTTGGAATGGTGATTTTCACAATTACTTTATTATTGAACTCCTCCCGTAAACTCCAATCACTAATAAAAATATAAATAGCCCAATATACTTTACCATTACATTACCTCATTAGACACTAATGGTATTGGTCGCTTTATTCAATATCGAAAGAGATAAACATCTAATCATTGAAAGTATTCACCTTTCAAGTGAAACCCTCGCAATTCAGAATAAGTTTTCGTCTCTAAATCTAAACACCAACACATCAAATCACCCGAAAACCTTTCATTACTTAAAACTCAAACGAGGCACGAAAAAACTAAAATAAAAAAAACGAAGACGAATTAATATCCCGAAGCACCCTACTCTATCAAATCACTAAAAACCTTTTAAAACGCCTTAAAAAAATTGGAAAAACTCACCCTTGGCGGCCTAATTCCACCGTTGAAAAGTATCAATCCATTGGCTTCGTTCGTGCGAAACTTGAAAGAAATATTTCCAGATTTCTTGGCGTTCCACGGCGGCAGGATCTGGAAATAAATCAAAGCGATAACTTTGAGAATTCCGATAGAATTTTTTGGGGGTGCACATACAAAAATTTGAGCGGCCATACATGTTCGATGGTGATGTTTTGTGATATAAACAGGGTTTTGATTATCCCATGACATTTTAATAGAAAAATTGGGAGCAACATACCTCAGTATGTTTGTAGGGCAGACTTTAGTAATAAAACACTATTTTATTTTCATATGAACACTATATTGTTATTAAACTATTTCTACGATAAGAAGACAGTAACGTAATTTCTAGTATTTCTATTGTCAACGGAAAACCACGAAAAAAACTATGAGCAAATACGATTTAAACTTAGCGTTGTAACATTTTTAAAATCATCTTCTAAAAATGTTATTTTAAATGAGAGGTATCCCGTATATATAGTTTAATTTTTATTAAAATGATTTAAAATCTAATAATTGTCGGCGCGGGAACCGTTGCTGAGACAGGGAAATCTCGCGTAGCGGAGAGGAAATTCATTTCTCGAGATGCTGTGATATGAAATTATTATCTACCTTCTATTTTGAATCAATCGTTGGGTTAAGTGTCTAGACTAATATTAATTTTTAGTATATACTATGAAAAAGTAAATGTATTAAGAGGAATACATACCCTCGCTTATTTGAAATAAAAGTCAAACGCCGTTATTTACCAAGAGATTTTTTTTTAAATTTTGGGAGTATATTTACTTCATACTTCTAAAAAAGGTATAGGAGCAGATTTTTTTTGAAAAATCTAATTTTTGAGAAAAAAATATTTTCACTCCGATTTAATTTTTTTTCAAAAATCTGCTGTCATAACTTTTTAGATATTAGTTATAGTCTATTTTTATGTATGAGAGAGTAATAAAACAGCATTTCTAATGCAAAACTTAGTACGGTCATTTTAAATATTTTTACAGAATAATCTAAATATTTCCTAAAATTGTAATAAATGTACCTGATCTATTACAAGTTTTGGGTCTTTTATTGGTCCTTTATGAACATAAGATGTACAGAACAATAGAAAAAGGTTTGCACAGGCCAAAAGCCCTGTGTATTAAAGATTACATTGCCGTATCTTAAGATTATTTTCAATAAGTACCTATTTGCCAATTTTGTTTTATTTTAATTCCAAGAATTTCTTACAGTAATAGAATTATAAGTAGATAAAAACCTTCCCAATAAATTTCACCGAAAATGCGACTATAGGTTTTCCATTTAGTAAGGAGGTCCAAGTTGTGTATTCTTGACAGTTTACTAAATGTCGTTTAGTTGCAACTCGCAAGGTGTAGTGTGAATTCTAGTGTGATCATGGAAAATTTGGAAGGGCCGCGTAAACGACAAAAAATCGATCCTTTAACAGTTAATGAAGAAACATTAATATTTAATTGTTTAAAATCATTTACAGACAAACATTTATGTAAAAGTGTTGATGACACAGTGGAATTAGTAGTACGCTTGGTGTTGGGAAATCTACGATTTACAGAGTTGTTAAAGAAGAGAAATGTGGCGAGTTTCAAACAGCACGTAAAGCTCCAGGAAAACCAAAATCTTTTGAAAGAAAGACTTCGAAGGAAAGTGCATGCGTTCTTCTTTAGAAAAGAATTTCCGATAGTAGACAAAGTTCTTGCCATGGTTCGAGGTGATTACCCTGAAATGAGTCGAAGCACACTATGGAAACTTTTAAAAGAAATAGGTTTTCTATGGAAAAAGCATTCCAGAAAGTCTATTTTAATAGAAAGAAGCGATATTGTAGTATGGAGAAGAAATTACCTAAAGACTATAAAAGAAATGAGAAACCGAAGAAGAAATATATTTTATTTAGATGAAACATGGATCAACGAGGGACATAAACCAAATAAATTTTGGCAAGATGAAACTGTTAAAAGTCGAAGACAGGCTTTTTTAAATAATTTATCTACTGGTTTAAATCCACCATCAGGAAAGGGGCGCAGACTAATAATAGTACACATCGGTAGTTCAAACGGTTTTGTTAAAGGTGGTTTATTGACTTTTGAATCTACTCGTACCGGTGACTACCATGAGGACATGAATGCTGATGTCTTTGAAGAGTGGTTCGAACAAATTATAGATCTTCTTCCTCAGAACTGTATAATAGTAATGGATAATGCAAGTTATCACTCGAGACTTATAGAAAAAATGCCCACAATCAAGTGGTTAAAAAAAGATTTACAGAATTGCTAAATTCAAAGAATATTAAGTTCCATCTCGGTTTTGTGAGAAAAGAACTGTATCATTTGTATTCCCTTCATAAAGAGAAATTCAAAAAATATGAAATTGATGAAATTGCAAAAAATCGTGGGATGACGGTGGTTAGATCACCACCATATCATTGCGAAGTAAACCCGATTGAACTGATATGGGCACAGATAAAGAGAGAAGTTTCAAGAAAAAATAATTCTTTTAAAATGAGTGATGTTAAACAGTTGTTTTTGGAGGCTGTAAATAATGTGAAGCCTGAAAACTGGGAAAAGGCAGTAAATCATACGATTAAAGAAGAAGAGAAAATGTGGAAGTTGGACAATATTACTGATGAAATGATCGAGCCACTCATTGTAAATATGGGTTGCGACAGTTCATCTTCTGATTTCGATTCTGATTTGGATTTGTAGGTAAGAAGTAGTTTTTATATTAAAATTATTATTTATGAACGTAACGTTGTTTAAAAGTCAAAGTTTAAACCCTTATACCTACATAACCCTTTTGACACAATGTTCGTAACATACCTTGTGGAAAAACAAAACATTTTAGAAAAAATTGCACTTTTTTACCTTCAGCTGTTTAGAAGTTATAAGCAGGTTAATTAGGTGAAAATATAAGTGTATACTCGAGGAATAACTTCAAAAACTGTCTACTAAAAGAAGTGCTACGCCTATAAAAACTATATTTAAAGGAACATCATAAGTTCTAACTATAAAAGAACGAATACCAACCATCAACTTCAACTTTTTTGTAATATTAAACACCATGGACACAGTAATGACCAGCAATCAAATGTTGATATGGTTATTGTCAAATAATATATTGCCTGTAATTCTTGATGTCCTTTTTTATTATGAATAGAAAACTAAAATTGTTTCAAATCACGGTGAATGAACAAATAAATGTTTTTTCTATATTAGCGGAAGGCATTATATATTTGAGATTCGGCAACGATGGTGCGTGAGGTTTCCGGGTTGTCCTCACCTGCATGTCAAACGACACCATCAATTATCTTTAAGTCGCTCTGGAGCGCCACCAAAAAAAATAATAATAATACCCGTCCCTTCCTCACATAAACTGAGTCGGTTTCAGGGGTTCAAATTCACTCGTAAGGGGGTGAATTAGGAAGAGTATTATCATTATTTAATATACCGGGTGTCCGCGCGAAAACTTTAAATGAAATTATTTCTGGTGTTTTAAAATATATCGACTTGAAATGTTGGAAGGTCATTAAGGAAGTAGGGGGTAAATTAATAGTATATAAGATACCACTCCAACGTGATATCTGCCTCCCCCAGCCACCCCCGGTTAAAAAGTTTAAATGACACCCTGTATTTTTTTTACATATTCTGAAAGAGTGTAGTTTTTTTAGTATCTCTATGTGATAAAATTACTTAATTACGTAATGAACTTTGAAAGATATTTACAGCTAAAGGTTCAGATACCAGATATTAAAAAAAAGAACTAGTAACCTTGGACAGTAGACAAATTTCGAAATAATTAAAGCAGATAGAAACAAAAAAATCTAATTATCCAAAAAAATATAACTTATCACAAAAAAATACAACTTATCACAAAAAAATACAACTTATCACAAAAATAGGTATTCTTATAGACCAACAAAATTTCGCTTTATAAACCAAAGTAAGGACTCTTTTTATTTTTTTAGTTAAATCAAATGTTCAAAATGTTCACCGTTTACATTTAAACAATAGTACAGTCTATTCTCGAAAGCGTTCCGAATATTTTCAAAGACATGTGGTGTTAAATCTCTACATTCCTCTATGATTCTATTACGCAAATCATCAATGGATTGTGGTGGTGTCCTGTAAACAACAGACTTCAAATGTCCCCATAAAAATAAATTCAGTGGGGTCAAGTCTGGGGAGCGAGCTGGCCATTCAATAGGACCCCTACGACCTATCCATTGTCCTGGAAAAACGGTATTTAAATATTGCCTTACTTCTAAACAGTAATGAGGGGGAGCTCCGTCTTGCTGAAAGTATAACTGATCCTCCTGCATTTGATCTAAGTTTTCTTCCAAGTACTGAATGATATGAGGATGTATTAATTCTTCTAAAAACTCGAGATATCTAGGCCCAGTTAAATTCTCGTGATAGAAAATTGGACCAATTATTTGGTTATTTAGAATTCCACCCCATACATTAATTTTTTGGGGACGTTGCGTATGGCCTCTCGGAAAACGTGGGGATTAACATCGCTTCAATATCGACAATTGTGTCTATTTACGAAACCATTTAAGGAAAAGCAACTTTCGTCACTGAAACCTGTCATAGTGTCACAAAATTGGACTCTTCTATCGAAGTCATCGTCGCCCAACTCTTGATGAAGCTGTATTTTATAAGGATGCATTTTATTTAATTTTAGTATTTTATGGCACGTTGTTTTTGCCACTACCGAAGCTTCTGATAATTTTCTAACTGAAAGCTGTGGGTCTAAATTTACGTGACCAAGAACTGCAACTTGCGTTGCTTCATCTCGTGCTCCACGATTATTCATATCAGGTTTTTTATTATTTACCGATCCAGTTTCAAAAAATTTTTGTATTAGATTAATTACATAAACAGCAGATACATTTTTGTTGGGATGGTTTTCGTTAAATAATGCTGCCGTCTGCGAATAGTTTCTGTTTGCAATCCCATATAAAACTACAATTTCAGTTCTTTCTTCCAAACTGTAAACCATTTTTCTATTTTTTTAGCTATTTAATTTAAACTAAGTCAAATTTTTTCGAAAACTTTTGTACTAAC